CTCCCTCAAAAATGTGCTGAAATTCACTGTGATTGTTCTACCCTTGAATTATTTAATCACTGCTAATAACAGGGTACCATGGGCTGATTGCCTTAGACCTGGGTCACATGCTCCACCTCTGGACAGGGGTTGTGAAGGTCCAATTGAACCACATGGGTCTAGTAGGGAGGAGAGAGAAAACCCTTCCAAACTAAAATGGGCCTGTTACAGAGAGTGAATGCTAGAAAGGCAATCAACAAATATCCAATCGACCCCAAGTGACCATCTTGAAAATGCCCAGAAGGAACCAGGTAGTAGAAAATGTCTGGCTAAGGGCCTGTCTTGCCTCAACAGTGGAAAAATAAAACCCGTGACTTCTTAAAAAAAATAGATGATCTTATGATAAGGTGTCACCTGTGGTAAGAAGTCACTTCTAATCCAAGAAGCCCAGGGAGAACTCTTTCATTCTCTTTGCTAGGGGACTTCTCAGAAAGTGTCAGAATGCCCCTTCGTCCACGCTTCATCTGAATAATTGGTCTTGCAACATTATTTCCCCATCATCCTTTAGCAAGGGCTCACCCATTTGTTCCTTTTTTCAGTCATGCTTTGCTTGGCCACATGTTTCCCCCTTGTGCTAAAGGAAACATCTAGGGGCACCTGGGTGGCTCAGTCGGTTAAGTGTCTGACTCTTGATCTCAGCTCAGGTTTTTGTTTTGTTTTGTTTTGTTTTTTGACAGAGAGAGACACAGAGAGAGAAGGAACACAAGCAGGGGGAGTGGGAGAAGCAGGCTTCCCGCTGAGCAGGGAGCCCGATGCAGGGCTTGATCCCAGGACCCTGGGATCACGACCTGAGCCAAAGGCAGATGCCCAATGACTGAGCCACCCAGGCGCCCCTCAGCTCAGGTTTTGATCTCAGCTCAGGTCTTGATCTCAGGGTTTTGAGTTCAAACCCCACATTAGGCTCCATGTGGAGCCTATTTAAAAAAAAAAAAAGGAAATGTCTAGCTTGCTTGCTTTCTTTCTTTCTTTCTTTCTTTTTCTAGCTCTTTGATAGTATAATTTAGGAGTGCATTCTGTAGTATAATAGAAAACCCTACTGCACTGGTTTAAACTGATTGGGGGGTGGAAGAGTAGGAAATTTTCATAATAGGGAGCCATGGAAGGGAGGCAGTCAAGAACTGATCCAGTAACTCAAGAATGCTATCAAGAACACAGGCTTTTTATACATTTTCAATCCCAAATCCTTAGCATAGGTACCCTCATGCTCAGGCTAGATCCTCATGGTTGCAAGATGGTTTATGTTCATGTTGCAGTCAGAAAGAAGAGAGAAAGGTCAAAGGTGGGTGTGTGCTGTTTTTGTTTTGTTTTGTTTTGTTTTTTTTAACATGAGGTCTTGTGTTTTTATTGGAGAAGTATTGAATGATGAATTTCTAAAAGAATAAAAGCATGAGTCTTATCATAAAATAAACAAGTGTCAAATATTTTATTTCACTAATTAATAAGGAAATCAGTAAGATGTTGAAACCAATTCAAAGGAGAATTCTTGAAAACATTCGCACATAGGCAATCATATACACATACACAGGCAACCGAGAATGCTACAATGAATTTACAGACAGGTGGAAAATTAGTCAACAGAGAAATAATCGATTGCAGCTCCACCAGACACAATTCATTTGCATTTCTATGGACAAGAGCCAATTGCATTCCTATCAGTTTTCCACAATTTACAAAATTGTAAAATAGCTCAAAGATAGTGAAAGTTGGAGATGACACCAAAGAGTGCTAGGACACCATATATTTGTCCATTTAAAAATCTTTCACAATGTTTCCTGACAGAAGGGATGCCCCCCCCAACCATCTACCTATATCTCATTGACCAGAGTTGTGTCATATAGTTACCTTCATTGCAAAGGAGGCTGGAAATCAAGCCTCTAGGTGGACACACTGCTCTCTCAAGCGAAGTAGGATTCCGTTAGTAAGGGAAGTCGGCCTCATCTATGTACCCACTTGATGTAACTGCACTAGATTATTTAATAATTTTTAGCATACATGAGTATGAGGATGACTACAGTGGACACCTGTTGTTTTGATACTTTAACGTCATTCCCCCTTCTGGTCACAGTACCTCATATTTCCTTTAGGCTGTCTCCACTCTCTAAACCTAGTTCTAAAGGTGAACACTTGACTCTGGGCTTGTTCAGTTACGGTGATTGATTTGATGCAGCTGGAGCCAGGCCAATTAGATTCAATCTTTGAAATTTCACTGGAATGAAAGTGTGATTTAGGTTATTACTATTTAGTAATATTTAAGCCTAAAGGTGTTTAGTCAATTTCCTGACAATGCTTGGTGCACAAGTGGATTCCTATATTCTTTGCAATAATCCCACTGCTTCTCAAAGAGTCTGTGGCTTCCTGGTGAGAAACCTTGGGAAGTTTCTTTATTTAGTATGTTGCTCCTGCTTTTAGAACTTGAGAGCTTATAGGCTGTAGTGTGTGCTAGGAAGTTCAAGTCTGGGTTTGAATGCCAGTGGTGTCAGGCACAGTCTGCCCAGAAAGTAACCCCATCTAAGTATTTAAAGCAGGGCGCAGGGCGGAGGGGTGGGGTTCATTCAGGGGATTAGTTACCTGGGAAATAAAGTGTTGCAAAGCTAGCCAGACGGGGTTGAGGCAATTCAGAGATTAACAGCAGCAAGAAGCCACCAATCACCACTGCCAGGCTACAGATTAGATCCAGGAGGAGATTATGTTACAGATACCCAGGGTCTGGGATCCCCTAACAATACAGAGGGAGAACCAGTTACGTCAGAGATGCTGCTCACAGGGGTGGGGTGGGATGGCTAGGAAGGTGGCTGTTCCTATTGCTGCCTCCTGCTGGCTGAACCTAGCTGGAAGCTCAGGAATAAGGAGGCCTGGGAATGTAGTCTCTGGGGGTCCAGTACCCCCTTTTTTAAGAAGCAGAACAGGAAAAGGGTGAGGAATGGAACTGAAGCCATTGGGTCCACTACACAGGACTGGCCACTAAGCCATATTTCATCACATCTAAGATGCCATTGATTATGGGATGCCATTATTTTATGCATTCCTAAGAAAGAAAAAAGCTGCTAATTAAACTATGATACAATGCTAAAACTTCATCCATTGCAATGTGTCTTGGTATGAGATATTAAAATGTGAAAAAATATACATCTTAAGTTCAATAAAATATGCTATTAGCTGTGTGATCATTTTTTAAATATTTTTTTTAAAAGATTTATTTATTTGGCAGAGACATACAGAGAGAGAACAAGTAGGCAGAGAGGCAGGCAGAGGGAGAGGGAGAAGCAGGCTCCCTGCCGAGCGAGGAGCCCGTTGCGGGGCTCGATCCCAGGACCCTGGGATTATGACCTGAGCCGAAGGCAGCCGCTTAACCGACTGAGCCACCCAGGCGCCCCTAGCTGTGTGATCTTAAGCACATGTCAACTTAATTCATTTCCACATTTGAGCTACGATTTTACCATCTCTAATTGAAGACAATGCCTACCTCATGGGGTTATTGTAAGGATTAAATCAGCTAACCCTTTTAAGACTGTTAAGTTTAGCAAGAGTAGGCTCTTTTTTTTTTTTTAAAGATTTTATTTATTTATTTGAGAGAGAGAATGAGAGAGAGAGAGAGAGCACATGAGAGGGGGGAGGGTCAGAGGGAGAAGCAGACTCCCTGCTGAGCAGGGAGCCCGATGCGGGACTCGATCCTGGGACTCCAGGATCATGACCTGAGCCGAAGGCAGTCGCTTAACCAACTGAGCCACCCAGGCACCCAAGAGTAGGCTCTTTGTCTCTTGTTCATTGTATCCCCTGTGCCCAGCACAGTGCTTGGCACATAATAGGAACTCAAGAAAATTTTGTGGAATGAATCCACCTGGACTCTATATTCCCAAATGATCAAGGTTATTGGCACATAGTGGCAGGTGGGTGTCATTAAATGGAAGTTATTATTGGAACAGAAAACTATTATTATTGGAATCAACCGTGTTTGGGAACAAGATCTTCTTTGACTAGTTACTGAGAATTGACTCTTCTGTGGGGGATTGGGGGGACTCCTCATTTATTTAAGAAAGATGTCAGAGTGGAAGCCACAGTCTCTGGTGGAAAAGATTATGCCAGATGGCTTTGTGCACACAAACTAAATCGTGAGCAGAAAATTTAAGGGTGGTGGTGGCGGCGGCAAAAGAAGTTGGCAGGGAAGGAGGGGAATGAGGGGGAAGACAGAATATAGAAGAGCAACCTCCACCAGCTACAAAGCACGTTTTGGTCATCATTTTCCTAATCCTCATAGGTCTGCAAGCACTGTAGTGTTGTTCCCATTTCACAAATGGGACTCAGGGGGGACAAGGTTAGGAAGGGATTTTCCCGAATGAAAACAACCAGATGGAAGCAAAGCTAAGACGCCCCGCGTGTGGTTATGTCTACCCAGCTTCTGGCTGCTAAGAGAAAGCCTGAGACCGGAGAGATTAATTTCAATTTGCAACACATGTAAGGATAGGTTAAATACGAGGAAGGTGATGAAAATAGCTGTTAGTGTGGTGAGATTATGGGTGATAAGAACAATCTCAGTAGCGTTGACATTATCTTTTCAAGAATAATTCAACCAACGTAGGGAAAGGCGTTGAAACCAAACGCCTTTCCAGCTGCCATCTCCCCGCGAAGGAGTGACTTATCCAACAGGCTGGAGGTTAGTCAGGACTCCAGGACGCACCCCAGACGCAGGGCAACATTCCCCAGCTCATTAATAGGAAGTCATTGATGACCTCAGCGCACGTCCCCACTTTGCTATCCGCGCCCGCTTCCACGCGCCGCACGCCGACCGCCCATTCTCTCACGCGGGTAACGAGCACCGCCTACTGGAAGTCAGCCGCTCGGCGGTTTGGCCCCGCCCCCGAGCAAAACGCGCATGCTCCTCAATTCCCCTTCGCCCCCACCTCCAGGCTTCTCGCGACAGCCGCCCAGCGGCGGCCTGAATCTCGCGATAAAGGCTTATTGTCTCGCGGGACCGCGGCTGGCAGACGGGCTTTCAGGCGGCCCTGGCCGTGGAAGAGGAGTTGCATGTGTCGCTTCAGCTGGCGGTAGTGGCGGGAGCGGAGGCGGCGGGGGTTGTGCGACCGCCCGGGTAACGACCCCTCGTGCCTCTCCTTCTTCCGAGAAGCTCGTAGAGAGCGTGGGGGAAGCCGAGGTGCTGCCCGGCGGAAGGGGGCCGGGCCGGGCGTCTCCACACCCCCGCCCACATGGGCCCCTTTGGTGTCCCCGGGATTGCCCCTTCGCCTCAGATCTTCCCCTAACTCTTGGCCGCCTTTGTCGCCCCAGTGCTCTTACATTCTGCCCCTTGCTGGTTCTTTTGTCCCTATTTTCTCTCTTCAGATTCTGGTCTCCCCGCCCCCTCCCACTCCCATCCCCTTCCCTGATTCCTGTGGCCCTCTCTTGGCGTTGAGCTGCCCGCACACCCTGTACTCTGGGCACCTCTAGTCACCCACCCCTTCTTCGTAGGCTTTTCCAGCCTCTTTTTCGTCCAGCTGCTTTGTGGCCTTTATTGCTGCAGTTTGCATCCCTTCCAGATCACCCCCAGACCTTTTGTCCCGTCACTGCGGATCATCCTCCCCATCCTATTATTCCATTGCTTCCTCTTTCCACTAGTTTTCCCCGCCCCCCCCCCCCCATTCTTCACGGTCCTTTTGCTACTGGCACTTGCTTCCCTGTAGACCTGTGGAGCTGGTAATGGTGCGCCCGGAATTGCTCATATTTTATGGATCCTAATGCAGCTTTTATCCTTCACTTAAAAACAGAATTGGAACAAATTTAGGGTTGAGGTATTTCTAGTGGGAGGAGGTGAGGCTACATCTGAACACTGCCTTTTTGGGGTCTTGGTCCAAAATAGTGAAAATGTGTTATTTTCCTTGCTTACAGGTTTGTGAGATGGCTGCTGATATTTCTGAATCCGGTGGGCATGATTGCAAAGGAGACCCGAGGGGCAATACCAAGTTAGATGCAGACTACCCACTTCGAGTCCTTTACTGTGGAGGCAAGTGTTACAGAGCAGAAAATGGCTTTTGCTCACTTTATTTTTATGCATTGTAATAGTAGTATCGCATTTGATTCTGTTAATCCTTTTCTCATCTGTCTTTGGGAAATCCTTAATTGGGGGCGGGGGGGGGGCGTTGGTAAGGCAGGGGAGGCATGGGTTAACAGATTTTCTAGACCCGTATGACTTTTGTCTTGCTACTTGGCCTGGAGAAGCTTACAGTCCAGTTGGAATAGAGACATGCAAATAGATTATTTCAACCTAGTGCTACTTGCTAGTCTGGCTACTAAAGGAGGACCTCTTGGGAGATACTGAGTCTGAAGAGATGACAAGGACTGGATGAGGAAGTGGGGAAGGGCATCCCAGATGAAGTGAATGGCTATGCAAGAAAGGACTTGATGCACGTCTGTGGAGAAATGAGCAGCTTTGGATTAGTGTAGTGTGGATATAGTATAGGGAGGGTATCAGGAGTGGGAGTGATGAGGTCGGAGCGATGGGTCGTAGGGCAGTCTTGGGGAAGTCTTCTCGGTTTAATTAATAATTAATTAAAAAAGTGATCGTGGGATGAGGAAGAGGCCAACCACTGTCACGTGGCTGGCACACAGCTACGCTATCTCTGCGTGTCATGTAATCTTGGATTCTTTTTTTTCTTGGAGTGTTTTTCCTCATTTTCAACGCAGAAATATTTGTGAATTGGAAATGCTCTAATTTTATTAGCATTTTGGGAAGTTTTAGAAAAATTTGAAGGTACAGGACAGCAAAGGGGCAAGTAAGTACTGATTTTTTTCAGGAAATATTTTTGACCACTTACTCTGTGCCTCGCCGTGTTTTAGGTGCTAGGGACTGAGTAGTGAGTGAGTAAGTCAGGAAAGGTCCTTGTGTTTGGAGAATTTACATTTTGTGAGTGTAATAGAGACATCATCTGGAGTTTAAGTACTACAGAAGGAGTGGGATGTCACTGAGTAAAAAAATTTTGTCAACGTGCCATTTATTGAATATCTTTGAGAGTAAAAATTATTATAAAATACCTCAGTAAGAATAAGGCAGGGGAACTTTTTGTAGGGTTGATTGATTTTTGTTACAGTATTGGTCTTATTTGGTCATCTTGTTTGCCTTTGGCGTCGCAGACCAGGGACTGCATCCTGATTGCAGCATTACTAGTTATGTGACCTTGGGCAAGTTACCTAATTCAATTAAGGATTAAAGGTCTGTTTCTTAAGGTCTGTACAATGAAAATGATGATTATATCCTAAGTCAGGTGATTTGTATAAAGCTTCTGGTATAGCAACTAACACAAGAACAGAGTACAGTAAGTTTTATTATTAGAGAAGTATACTAGTTTAGTATGGTTTATTTATCTTTGTCAGATGTAGTTAAGAGCTGTTGTTCTTTGTACCCTATTTTATCTAATCTAAGACTCCATATCTTATAAGATTCGCCATTATTTTAATGTTCCACTAAGAAAAAAAAACTCACATTGACATGCCGTAACTATAAGGTATATCCCTATTAAAATGAAGAAAACTTAGGATTGATGAAATACGGCATATGAAAACCATCTTATTAAATTGCTTATGTGACTGCTAAGGTGACTTGAACAACTGCACTAAATATGCAAACCACCCCGGTGATAATTTGTGTTGACCAGCGGTCCCTACCTTTTTTTTTTTTTTTTT